CACACAACAGCATAGCTGTTTGGTGTCAGCACCACCACCATGGGAGAGGTGTTTGTGGAGATTATCCTGGCCATGGAAAGGCACCTCATGTCCCTCACTATGTACCTGGGGAATGCCTGTAAGGTAGGCAGTGCCCCACCCCCAATCCCATGCAGTGTATCCATAGCATGCTTGTCACTTGCACTAGTGCATCTGTTGCCAAACCCCTGTAGTCCCCTGGCCTTCCTATGCACCACATTGGATATGAATTATCGCATGTGACCCCTTTTGCTCCTGCCCTTCCTGTCACCCATAGATCATGGACAGCTTTGCCAAGATGGGATTACTGCAAGTAGTGGGAGCAGTAGATGGGTGCCAGTTTCTGATTGTGCTGCTGCTGTGACAGGGAGGCCAGTTCATTAACTGGGATGACAGCTACTCCACCCTGCTACAGGGGATCTGCATCCACATAGAGCACTTTGTGGATGTGGAGACTGGATGGAGTGGGGAAAATCATGGCACACACATCATGCACAACTCCACCATCTTTGAAACCATGGAGGCAGGCATCTTTGTGCCTGGAAACTCAATCATCACACTGAAGGGCCAACATATTGGGCCACTCTTGGTCTCTGACAGTGGCTACCCCATCCAAAAATGGCTCATGAAGCCATACCAGGAGGCCAGCACTGCAAAGGAGGCAACCACATACATAGCAAAAGGCCACTGGATGGGACACCACCACCTTTGGTTGGGAACAGCCAGAGACAAATGGTGACACCAGTCAGGCACCAAAATGGCTGTCCCTGGGGTGTGTTGACTCTGTGTGAGTGGCCTCCCATTCCCACTCCCATGCCTCCTTGGCACATAGTTCCTGGGGTAGTGTCAAAGAGCTCCTGGGAGGCTTTTGCCAGGGTGGGGCCATCCCTCATTGGGAACTGTATGCCTGCCTGCCTGAAACCCATTGAATGCTGGCACTGCAAGCCACTTGCAGTGAATGGCACCATCTCCATGGAGAATTCTGCCGAGCTCCTTGAAGTAGGGCATAGTGGCCATGCCATGGCCTCTGTGTACATTGTGGTCACATACTTCTTGATATTGGCATGGGAGAGCCTTGCTTTTCATCCTGCATTCCTGTGTTCTTGCCCCTTGGCCCTCATCTCTTCTGTGATGCTTTGAAACAGCTCAATGTTCCAGTGCAATTCTTGAAGTTGCTACTGCAAAGTGTTCTGTTCCCATATGGCTATTAGGTCACATGTCTCCTCGCTGCCCCAGGAAACCCCTCTCCCTTTTTCCCCAGCTATTTTCTTACCATTATTAAATACCGGTATCTGTGTCTTTTTCTAGCATGCTGCTTTATGTTGTTTTTCTAGTTTTTCCCCTCTAACTCCTTCATCTAGTTAAAAGCAGAAGGGAGAGAAAAGTCATGGGCTGAGCAAACTGAGCTGACTTTTACTAAACAATAAAACCCAAAGCAAGACACAATTTATATATAAATTTAATTTACATTTTTCTCATTACATTTTTTCTTGCCTTATTGTTGTTGTTAACTGCCTTCACATCGCTCTCGACCCATGGCAACTCTATGGATGAGACAGTCCTCTACTGCTCAGTCCAGCTCCTGCAAACTCTTATTCGTGGTCTCTTTAATAAAGTCCATCCATCTAGCATGTGGCCTTCCTCTCTTTCTACTTCCCTCCACCTTTCCTAACATTATTGTCTTTTCCAACGATTCATGCCTTCCCATGATGTGGCCAAAGTACAACAATCTAAGTCTAGTCATCAAAATCAAACATGCTAGGAGAAGATATATATGACAAAAAGTGTTTTGAGTTTAGTCCTCAACAGTCAAGGTTTAGCTCTCTTCCTTGCAAATCCCAGTCTTTATCTTGCCCCACCTCATTCCCCAAAGCAGCTATCAATTTCCAAAAATCAAATATGCCGGTAATAAATATGTGAACAAGGTATCCACCTTACAGTTCCAATGTATGCCTTCAGCCTACTTGGGCAGATATAATAATACTTTCATTCAGATATAATAATACCCCCGTTCAATTAAGATTGTGTATATGTGAAACATGGGCAGTGGAGGATATTGAACATTATCTTTTACAATGCCCCCTTTATACAGCCCTCAGGCAAAGGTTCCTTGATCATATTTTACATTCCTTTTCTGACCGATCTCGTACTCACTAAATCTGTATTCTTTTTGCTAGTAATGATGTATACATTATCTCTTTGGTAGCAAAATTTGGTTTAGCTGCCAGCAAGATTAAGCTTAATTATCAAGCTAAGGGTAAGAATTCACTTGTCATATTTTTATCATTATTATTGTATCTTATTCATGGTTCCTTTATAAATTCTTATAAATTTTATGCTCTGTTTTTATATATTGTTTTTGTATTCATTGGTTTGATCTGTACCAAATTGTGACGGCTTTTAGCTATTAACAATAAAGTTATTACTTACTTATTTACTTACTAACAAGGTATGGTAGGTTATAGCCACATCATTTATTTATTGCCAGCATATGTGTTTTAATGTATATTGTACTAAGCCACCACAGAAGCAGTTGTGATTCTGGAGATATGTTTTATAATAGCAAAACCATAAACACCCAATCATTTGAATGGAGGCGTCTGCATTTGCACCTGCTTTGAGGTTGATTATAGCTTTACAGAAATAATGTGATGCTATTTGTTGATGCTTTTGTTTTGTATTCTTGTGTACTTTCCTTATTTTTTTAATTTTAAAAAACCCCAAGAATTGCATCAACTTTGGTCCTCAGAAATCAAGGCTTTGTTCTTCGAACCATCACAGTTAATGCCTGCTTTAATTTGGGATTATTCAACACCAGAATGGCAGCCTGAGCTGGAGAGCATATCATCATCACTATTGAAATAAGGAATCGTTCACTTTTTCTAATATCTACAATTATAGACAAAATTTGTGTCACAAAATCATCCCGGCTGCCTTGATATGGGCTCCTCTTTGCAAACTTCTTAAATTTTCTTTACTTATGATCCAATAGACATGCCTAAAGAGTGAGGCAACAACCAGCATGGAGAAAAGTACAACTGCAAGAAGGGGAGAAGAAGAGCCAATAATTAAAAAGAAAATTCGGAAAGGATAGGCACTATCTTTCAGGTTTTTTCTTTGGATCATCACTGAGATACTTGTTGTGTTGCTTTGGAGGTCTATAGAACCAATACGCAACGCAGAAAAGGAAACAAAAAAAAGCAAAGACTAGAGATACCAGAAGAAATCAGGGTAACAGCCATGATATCCTCCATTTTTTTTCCAAAGGAAGCAGGAATGGGTGCTGTTCACAGTCTTGATGCAATAGAAGATGTAGAGCCAAGCAGTGAGCCAGAATCTGGAGATGACAACAAAGACAACAATGAGGAAGAGTATTTTCAGCACTAAGTTTCTTGTGAAGCTGAACATTAAGAAAGCATCTATGCAAAATGGCCCAGAAATTGAACAGACTCAAGCTCAGAAAGAGAGGTTCACTAGAAGCAAGGCTTCTGGATTTGGCCCATCAGTGGCTATTATTATAACAATAAAACCATTGGAGATGAGTCCACTGGTGGCCAAAACAGCTGAAGTTACCACAAAGGTAATGAACATGAGAAAAGCCATGTCCCTCAATGGTGCAGATTCTCAAGTAATGGAGGACTTCACCTGCCTGACCAAAGCTGTTGAGCTGAGATAGGAAAGGCAGACAACAGACCTGTGGTATACTTTTTAATACACCTGGAATTAAAACAGTGAACTATTCAAACTATGCAAATAGATGAAGCTCTCCTGTAACTCATTTCCATAGTGGTTGTCTTGAACAATTATGCAGGTTCAAGCTAGACAGAAGATTCATGCAGTCTATAAATCACAGGCAATGCTTGGTTTTGGCAGCTGTAGGAATAAAGTTTTATACAGACAAGTCCTTAATCATCCTTGTTGTTACTCTCCAGGCAAAGACTGGCAGGAGGTAGAGATAAGTACTGTTTGAACAAAGGGAAAGTCAGAAGCAAGGAGCAACAAAAAGCTTCCTGCAGGTCTTTCTGGGGCAATTTCCCTACACTGCCTTGTTGGTTGCTGCCTGAACAACAAGCACCATTGACCAGTCTCAAGATGTTTCATTCTATGTGCTGCATGTATTATGCTGCTTAAACCCAGTGCAGCTGTTCAGTGCCCCACTGTATTCTCATAAAGTCAAACATTGTTCATTTCTCCTGCTTGCATAAGTCAAAGAAACTCATTTTCTAGATCATTGTAAGTAAATATAATTTTT